AAAGTTTTACGTCACTATCTTCCTCTTACTCCGACAACATACAGTGACATGGAAAAACAAGGATAGACATATTGAGTAGGTACCGAAAACCCTCGATTTTCACAACAAAAGAAACAGGCACGAGCGTTCGGTTTGAAGGTGATTATGAAGATTTACAAGGGGTACGGTTTATGGCTTAGCGGCAACACCAGCGTGAATACACTATACCCGCCAATGTCTCCCTGCGTACATTAAAAGAAAGAAGATAAAAACTTAGATAGCCAAGCAAAAACCAATTTTTTATTCGTAGTAAGTGAGAGTGACATTCCAAGTTACGCACTACACTTGATCAAGGGCACTAACCTTCAAATTAAATGTTAGAAATGACGCCCTCCGTTATCGATGTATGCTTGTGCCCTTCGATCGAGCCATATAGAAGCTTTAGTTCTCACCAACATGTCGGAATTTCGTCGAATTGACTCGGCAGTATATTCACACGAACAGTTAATTCTTCGACGATGTTAACTGGAGTCTCATACACAATCTGTTTTAAATGGTCACAAGAATTTAAGTCCGGTGAACGAGCTGGTCCATTACGCCCTATCCACCGATTTTCTAGATTTGAACTTGGCGACCGCGAAATCTCTCCAGCAGCATTTGATAAAGCTTCCCCGTAGATCAGCACCATGTCTGTTAACTCCGGATTAGTGTACTGCACCATTTTTGACGATAATTACGGGAAATTTACTTGCCAATAAATTGTAAACACGGCCGCATGCAGGTGAAAGACGTGACTAAATTGTGTCAGTAAGTTTTTGCAAGACCTATCTGCCTGGGTTTTTGCCGTATTTACTTTTTTGCATACCGTGCCATCCATAAACGACTCGATGACACGGAATACGGTGAAAATAAATGTAAGTATAAATTTGAGTTTTCGAAAAAATGGTAAATAGAGTAATTTGTTTTGATGAGTTCTATCACCGTTTAAAGTTTCTTAACGGATTTCAATAACATTTCTCGCGAAATTTAGTAATTTTCCGAACATAATCAATTCGTTTAAGACGAATATCGTCTGATTCTATCAGCACACTTCTCTTATCAGTTGTTTTTTTCTATTGAAATCCCATGATTTTTAACATTTTATGTAAAGTTGAAATTGAGAAATCAGTGCCTAGGACTTCTTGCACTTTTTGATGGACAGCTATAAATAAACATTTAATTAATGTAAAAATTAAATTTATTTTATTTATTTATACCTCTTAACGTTGGTCTCCTTTTTTCAATTAGATAGAAGTTATATACAACCTCTTTAATTGTTGTTAATTCTCCTTCATGGAACAAATGGGGCTGTGTTTCTTCACTCTAGTTTTCTTTGGACTGTTTTGTAGTTGTCAAACTGTCAAACAATCACTGTTTCATTAATAGTCATAAACTGCAGTTTTCCAGAAACAAATTTCATTTGTTCTATCAAGGGACGGCATGAATATGATTGTAGTTTATCTACCTTAATCAATAACTAACTAAAAAAGTTGTAATTTTTGATAGGATGAACAAACTAGAGAAGATTATCCAATTTTTCAAGGTTTGTAATCGAGTTCGTATCGGAATATGTATTATTGAATGCATCTTACAGGCGCAGGCCTTGTAAAATTATGTGAAACACCCTGTATATAAATCGGTAACTGATTATTCAGCCATTCCACAATAACGGATATACTGTCATCCTAAATTCCAATTTATACGAATACGTAGTTAGCTTATAGTTACTAGAACTTGAAACCACAGCACTATTTTTCTATTAGCTTCACTTCATATTAATAGTAAATAAAAAAGACTGATAACGGACGGGACAAGAAAAAATTGTATGATTTAGCAATATTGGGTTTTTCTTTTAAATTCTGCAATTTGGCATATAAACGGACATTGATACTTTTGCATGTTAATTTTTGAATGCTATCCGAATGCGGAATACTATAATCATGAGCATTGTAACCATAGAAAAAATGTCTGTATTTTTAGATTGGATAACGGATGGGACATAACTTAATTTTAGGGTTCATATTTAGAAAATAATTTTATTAACCATTGAAACCGAGAATCAAAAGACTTACAAAACATCAACGATAACTGACAAATGTCATAGAAACTTAGGCTAAGTGAGAATGCTAGATACATCTGCTGATGATTCAAAAGTACGTTTGATGATTAAACGATGCGGACTTTCGGCCTTAAAACAGTGTTTTGATTGAACCTGAGGGATTCTGGATACTTTTTGCCATCTGCCATACAACATTTCTTTAATCTTTTCTATTTCGCTTTTGGTCATTAACATTACATGCACATTAGTTACTTTAGTCTTGGCACATTGGTAAAAGTCATACGCACTATTTATTTCCGATTTTCTTTACTTCCAACCAAACCAATCTTTTAACTAGACCTCCTATTCCATGTGACGTGGCACAGAGATTCCATTCCGTGGAGATGCCGAAATCAGTCGGAAAAAAGCATAAGTTTGAAAGAGTATATTTATTCTTAAATTGTGCCGCACATCCGTCAGAAAAAAATGTAATCTTGTTAATCTCTTTAAATTTATCTTGCAGTACTCTTATAATTTTCTTTACGAAAACAATAATTCAAGCATTGTTTTTAATGCCAAATGCTTTATTACGATTTTTCTTTTATTAGGACTCTCAGGCAGCATCCGTTTTACTTTTTTCACTGCCTTTCCTAATGTTTGTTTGCATTTATATCCTGTATTCAAACTACTGTTTCTCTGTTTTAGTTTTGTCTGCTTCAGTCTGTATACTCGTATCCTTTTCCTTTCTCTTTCTTTCTGTCTCATGGTTTTTGCTAGCGTTTCGTTTTCTCTTAGCAAACTTCTTTTTGTAATCGTTTCTTTAGCCTTTTTTTCTATATTCGTTCTATTTCTCCTCATTTTCTCTAATTCTCAAGTGTTTCGGCAAGGGCAACCCAATCGTCACCCCTGTTAGCACAAGCCACAATCCTTTTTCGATCTTGGCCGAAATATCGTTTGTACCTACGTTTTCCCTGCAATCAATTCTTGTCCATTAAAAACCAGTCTGCAAATTGGACATGACTCATTTACCAAAGGTTGGACACACTTTGTGTGAAAAAGATGTCGGCAGGGTAATAATGGTGTAACTGAGTTTCTCGACATCGAGATTCGGCAAACTCCACAGTTGTCCTTGAAGTTCATTTCACTTAGAATCGGTAATTCTTTTTTATGCGAGTTGTAAAACAGTTTGTTGACAAAATAGTGTCAAGTAGAATTCTTTTTTTTTTCTGTTGTACCTTGCAATATTAATTTTTAAGCCCAAAATCTTATTTCTGAATTACAAGTGACGCATTCTGAATTACTATTAACGCTTTCTCAAATACAAGTTACTAATCTAAAATACAATTACCACTTTCTGAAATACAACTGACAAATCTGAATTATTTACATTTAACGTCTTCTGAAAAACAACTTACGATTCTGAATTACATTTTATGTTTTCTAAAATACAGTTTAGTAATCTGAATTGCAATTAACCTTTTTCTGAAATATACTTTACCTTTTCTGAAATACAGTTGAAAAAGGTGTAGTAGCGCATGGCATTGTGTTATTTGACACAGTTTTACGATAAACGAGAAAAACTAAAAGAATACTGCTATAGGTATATTAATTTTGAAATAAAATGTGTTACAGAAGGAGACTGGCATAATGTCAAGTTTATAATAAACGGCAAGTCGTTTAATGCTCAAATGACTGAAAATATGAAACAAGGAAAGTTATTAACTTAATTTTTTAAAAGTTGACAATTCAAAAAATATTCTTTAAAATTGTGTAACACAACCAAATGTGCCACACTGTGCACATTTTTTTCCTTGTCTGTACATTTATTTTTATAAAAGATGATGAGTACGCCCTGGATATCATCACCAGGATGATCATGTCCAACAAACTTGGGGCTAATGGTATCACCCCAAATGACTTGTCGCACCTTACGGTGATCCGCGTCCCGGACTCTCTACCGATTATGGAAGCAATTACGGAAGAAACGGAGGATGAACTACTATTGGTGGAAGATAGAAAGCAATATTTCTGTTTTTAATGCACAAACTTATTTTTATAATATTCAACGAACGACCCCACACCCTTATGGACCGTAAGAGGTAAAGAAAGTTGCCACGATTATGAAGCCACAGAGTATATGCTCACGTTGCGGGCCAAGTACGCGGACAAATTTGATGACCGTAGAACCCTTAAATCCGGGCTATGGCGACGTTTTGCCAAAGAAATGGCAGATGCTGGGTTTAATGTGGGAGTTGGGAAGGCTCGCGGAGATAAAGTCCGCCAAAAATTCCAGAATCTGCAGAAAAGTTATATTACCTTTGTCAGGCATGTCAAGACGACGGGGGAAGAACGTCCTGCGCCCCCTCCTCATTATACAAAAATGCATGTAATTTTGGGACCGGCGCACAAAGTTAATCCACCCTATATAGTGGACAGCTTATTGTCCCCGGAGTTGACATCGCTAAACGCTGCTCCAGCATTTGGTGGTGGCTGTGGAGAAGGAAGCAGGGGTTTCAACGCCAACAGACGATACGGAATAATTTAGCATTTATTGAATGTTTTTATACAAATATTATAAATTACATTTGTTTTTGTATTGATGGTATTAGGTCAAAAATACGACAGTTATTTTGATAAAACAAATATAAAACAAAAAAAAAACAATCGCACATAATTCACAAGCGAAACCGTTTAATACTTAATGTAAATTATCACAAATTCTTCTTCTTTTTTCCATTCCCTCAAAGTCCAACTCTACAACAGCATCGCGCTTATCCCATGGTGCTCCTTCTTCTGGATTAGCGTCAAAGTCGTCCCCATTACAAACAAAAATTATGGAGCACACAACAAGCGGACACAATGTCAATAACTTTTTTAATAGAACACATTAACATATCTACAAATTCTCCATCGTCCTTTTAGGAGACCAAATACATGTTCCACAACCACACGTACGCTACTCAATTGTTTGTTGTATTTGGCTTGTTGTTGTGTGAGCCTTCCAGTTTGTCTGTAATCAAAACATGTTTATTTGCGAATATCATACAATACGTTTAAAATAACAGCTTAATGATAAAACAGTAAAACCAAACATATAAATTTCGGTGTCTTACCTATAAGGCGTTAAAAGCCAGGTTTTACATGGATACGCCGCATCGCCAATGATATGGAATACATCATCATTATAAAAGAGATTTTCTTGTTTTCCATACATCGCTTGTCCAATGGCGGACCCCTTCAAAACCTACAAACGCATTTGTGTATAAATTGTATATGGGCGCTTCTCTGTAAACTGGACAACTCGGTCTAAGAAAGTGTCTATACCACTTTTGTTCTTATATATCAAAAAAATCTTACTAAGGGAATAGGTATCTACCTGGTTAATAATAAACAGCAGATAAACCATTAATATTTTCATTATCTTAGGAAATATTGAGCATTTTCTGAAACATCGTTACAGGGGACTGTTACCTAAGGCAGGAGACTGTTTATTTAAATGAAAAACAGTGTTTTAGTAGCAAAATCTTTTTTATTTTTAGAATTGAACCAGTTATTGTAATTAAAGAAAAGTAGTTATCACATAAATAAAGCACGAATAGTTAAAGAAAAAATAAAATCAAGGGATACTTAAATTAGAGCTTATCGTTTTTGAAAAACATTTACAGGTGAATCAAATTTGTAGAATACTCTATTCCGTTTTAAAAGCATATTTCGATTAGGGAGTTTTTTTATCACCTGATCCATTGTTATATCTGCTACATCCTCTTGATCGAATCTAAATGTTTGACATTTATTATCGGAGATTTACTGTCTTCTTCATCTGTATCGTTTTTGTTTCCATACTTGTTTTCTAGAAATAAATTATTTTTTTCCTGCACCTAGTCTACTGTTAGAATCATCCTCATAAAAATCCACAACAGCTCTAGCACATTCATTTGAAACTTTGTTTTTTTTAACCAGTCCACGAGATTTTTTTGCATTTTTCACTCTCTTATAAGTTATCACCCCTGTGTCTTTCATTCGCCATAATTTACACTTATCAACGTGCTTTCCTGTTATTACTTTGGTTAAAAGTCTTTTTTTCTTTTATTGTTTTCATCTCGGAAAAATTCTCTTTTAATTGCTCCTTTAATACCTCACCAAATAGTGCCTTTTTAACTAGATCTTTCTTAGATTCTGGAGTATCTGCCAATTTGTGTAACCTTGTTTTCAATGTATATTTAGGCTTAGCATTTTCATTATTCTTTAATCTCGACAGGCGTTTCTTGTATTTCAATAGTTTTTTCTTCAGGTCTTTAATTTCTTCATCTTTTTTCTTTTTTATTTTATATCTCAACATCTTTTCAATATTTTTTTTTTCGAATTACAACTTTAGGTATTGCTAGTTGAGTTGATACTTCCGAGTTTGTTACATTTCTTAATACTTTTTTCTCATTGCGGGACTTTTTGCAGTACTCTCCACTTGTTTTTTGCTTCTCGGTGTTCTCGTGGAGTCATGTCTTTAACAAGCTTCCTAGTGCCCTTTTCTTTTTTTTTAAGATATTTAAGACGTTCTTTCTCCCTAAGTGTTTTCCTTTTTTGCGGATCGTTTTTGATGCGCTCCTAGGTATCTCTTTCGCTCATTTTCTTTTCTTTTTTTTGTAAAATATTTTTTTTTAATTTTTTTTTTCTTAGTGCTATGCTCAAACAATATCTAAAACAACAACAAACATATATAAAGACAGTCCCCTGCAATCGTAAACAGTCCCCTGTCCCGTTATGGTGCAGGGGACTGTTTAATTTCTGTTTAATTTGATTTCATTAGAAGGTAGCTCAAAATATAATTAAGTTATGTTAATTTGCTGTACACAACTAATATTTATCTATTATAACAAAATAAATTTTCTAACATGTAAATGAAATAGATAAAAAGAAATGAAAATAATTCTTACCAGAGGACTGTCAGCTGTCAGAGTGCAACGCGGATTTCAGGGAACGACTCTCGTGCAACACTAAACAAAGTAGCGTCGGGGCGCTTTTGGCAGCAACCGTGAAAATTTCAAGTCGTTTACGTTACGTTACACGCATTAACGCAATAGTTTAAGCTGTAGACTACGTGGTGCGTAATTTAAAATATAGACAGGGGTACTGTTTATAAAATGCTGAAACAAACTTTAATTTAATATTTTAAATTTGTAAACAAATATTAATAAAAAATAAACAAGTCCCATTAACAATCATGTAATATTGTTCAATTAATCAAATAATTTGATTGGTTCTTGAAGTTATTGTTATAATTAATTTAACTTGAGCCAACTATATTGTACAGGTGACACGACAGGGGACTGTTTTTTGATCATTATAAAAACGTTTTCGATATAATAAAATTAATTTAAAGGGATACTGCACTGCACTGAGCTTAGATAGATTTGAAGTTAACTAGGAAATACATAATAACCTATACTTTTTATATTATATCGGCTTGAGACAAAGAGTTGCCCAGTTTACAGAGAAATGCCCATATATGTATATTTTATATACTGAAAACTGTTACATACTCTTGCATCATGGATAGACCCTGGATAACCCACGGAAGTATTCGTAAACAATCGACTCCAAGTAACCACCCCCTGAAGTGTAATCTAGTGGCGAAACTTTTGATCCTGATAACTTGCCTGGTGCTGAACTGGCAGTTTGCATTCGATATGACACACATCAATTATTCCAATGATACCTACCTGAAATACCATCATTTTTAATCAGATAATATGAGTACTTTACTTTTTCCACTATTGCGTAAAATGTAAAATTGTGTAAAAACAATACTGTACCTACCTGAAAATCTATTCCGTTCTTCGAATTGCTTACTTAGCAATTGGCATTCTTCCTCATATAATAAATTTACCCCTTAAGTTATTAATCGCTTCAATAATAACTATAATGCAGGTACATGCTTTGGATTTGGCGACATTAAAACGATCTGCCGTTGAAATTATTGTGTCGCTTTTGGCCAAATACCATAAAGTTATTAAGAGTGACTTTGTCACTGGTATTGGCATATGTCCCCCAATATATTTATTTTCAGCCAAATGAATACTAATTTCCCTATGTAATTTTTTATGGCTTTTGTCATGCGGAAATGATAAAAAAAATCGTGATCTAAATACCGGTCTATCCACTTCTCATAAAAATTAGCTATCCTAACATGGACATCCCGGTACCCAGACAGAGGTTTAATCCATTGTAAACTCATTGTGTGGAGAACCCCAACTGTCAACCATATACAAAAGAGTTTCTTCGTGGTCTCTCCTCCGTTTCTTATATTCATTTTGGTCGCAATAGCAATTTTTGGAAATAGGCATGTTGCGCGCTAAAGAATTTTATGTAAGTTTTTTTTATACATAAACGCCCTGATAATGTAAAACAAAACGAGAGAATTTTCACCTGAACTGCGATAGTTTTCACAAAATTTTACTTGTTTTGAAAGGAATAAAATAATATTTAAAACGTTTCTTTAAAATTAAAAAATGATTTGATTCAAGGTTTTGATGTCTAAAGTCACCATTTCACAAAATAATTAATTTAATGTTTTATTTACTAATAAATTTATTAATTAATTAATGTAGAAGTTAAGGGTTGTTTACTATTTATCAACAGTAAAGGATTTTATGTGATTTTGGTGACATTTTTTACAGAAATCGAGTTGTGGCTTCATTTTCAATGAAATAAAATTTTTACAACAATTCCTAATATTCCAAGACAACGAGTGCGGTTTAAATTTGTAGGGTGGATCTAATTATGCCGCTGAGTTGGGTTTATCCCAGGCAAAAATTTATCCTTAAGGGTGTTATTTGCCTGAAACCTTTCTGCCCTGTGTATTAGAATCCCGATAATAAACATAAAATGTCTTATAACACTCTCAAAGACAAATTTTTGCCTGGAATATATTCAAATCAGTGTTAATTTTCAATTCTTTACCTAAATCCGCCTTTATGTAAAGAATTAACAATTTTATACTTATTTCAAAAGTTATATTTTAAAATTAAAAAATGGGAATCTTCAGCTTTACTAGTTTATCATTTATCATTCAGCTTTTTGAAAAAGTGTAGTAATTTACAAAATAATTTTTTTCTGTAGTAATATCATAAGTGGTAAAATTTTGTCGGCAACATTTTCAGATTGTACGAGAGTTTGTTGCATAGCAATTGGCAACAAAAACTCGAGTAAGTCAATCGAAAAATTTTGCCAGACAAAATTTTACCCCGAATGGTATTCGGAGGACTATTTCATGATTAAAACTAGACATTCAAGTCTACAACTATTTATTCTAAATATTAAATGTACACTTATTGTAAACAATTTTGCTGGAAATGTAGTTATTTTCACTTCTGGCAGACGTTTCATGAGTTTCTGACTGTATTGTTGATGAGGTACCTCGTAAGCTTTCTGAACGCCCAGTCTTGTAACATTTTTGCTAGACGATTTATTGGAGTATCGGCAGTCAGTTCATAATTTCTTTTTTCGCAGAACTGAGAGAATTGCTTCCAAATACAAGCCTTCGTCTTGATCTATTTTGGTGAACACTTATTGAACTTGCAAGTGGAATTGATCATTCCCAAATCGCGTGTTTTCATTCATTTTTAAAACGACAGAAGTTGTTTAGATTGTTACCATGGCGTAAAATTTTATCACTTGAAAACTGGCTTGGTTTCGATTTTGTTCGTAAATATCCTTCACTCATTGGCTCTAAATATTAGGTGAATTCGATAACATTTTGCTTTCATCAATTTTATCGATTGAAATTTCTTACTCATTGTTGAATGACGAGATGCTATTGGCCGAAATGTATATGAATGAAATTGTCACTCGAAAGTGATGAGAAAGCATTTGCTGAGAACATTTTCAAAAAAAGTTCAGAAAGCTAAAACAAAGTGAAGAAGTTGAAATCTGAATGGAAAGTGATTTGATTCGAAAAAGATTTGCCCTTATATTTAATAATATTTTATATTTAATGATTTATTTAATATATTTTATATTTAATAATACAAGCTGCCGAGGTGTAACCTGTTTTACCACAAAAAAGGAAAATAGGTTATAACCTAAAAATCAAAATAAATTCTAGTAAAAGTTATAATGGTTTATTTAAAAATAACAAATACTTCTATTAAACGTTACATTAAAAAAATACAATATCTGTAACAAAACAAAAATAAAAAATCTGGACATTTTTAAGAAAAGGTAATTTTTATGTCTAAAAAAGTTTGAAAAAATAATAATTGTTGTAAGTTAAATCTTAAAATCATAATTTCGCGCGCCAATTATGATTTTAAAACTTTTGAACTTTTAATATCTATTATTTTGTGCGTATTCAAATTACCTTCTAACAGCTTAGCAAATAAACAAAAAAATTAACGTGTCAATTCTATCACTACTTAAAAATTAACGATTTAACTTAAGTCAAGTAAATATACAAATATTTTTATATAAAGTTTCGTAGTTTATTTATGAAAGAATAAATTTTTAAATTACTTTTTTTTATTACTCTTGGTTCCCTGATCAATATTTATATTGAAAATATAACGTTGTAAGAATTCTAAGGTATTAGATACTTTGTTTGGGATAACACAATTAAAATTATAGAATAGTGAAAATAAAACTTTAAATGCATCTAGAAAATTTTCACATCCTTGGACTTTTAATTTCTCAGCGTAGACCATATACTTATCATTAGTGCCAGCGTCTAAAAAATACATAATAAGCAATTATTATAAATTTATAATATATGTAGCATATACAGGTGCGCCAGAACTCGCTCCCCAGAGAAAATTTTCAAGTAAGGTAAGATACCAGGAACATGAAAAAAATGTTTAAAAAATTCTATCTTTCAAAAAAATTTGCCATGTAGTTTTTGACATTTGACTTTTTTTTATATCTATATAATGATACTGATGATATTGTATATGTTTTTTTTTACAATTATTTAGTGAAGGGACAAAAATTTTGCCAATAAAAGCCACAGATAGCATTGAATAGAGTTACAATTTAGGCTACAGCTTCCTTGTTTCCTCTTTTAATAGCCTATAGTAAAAAAACTTAGAAAATTATTTTTCCAACAGAAATAAATATAGTCAAAGTGTAAACTTTAAACCCTCATAACTTCGAAATTTTTATAGATAAAATTTAACTTTTTTTTTTTTTAATTTTAACATTTTTTCCATGTTTCTGCTATCTTACCTATTCTTCTATGATTCTCCGAATATTATTGATGTTGTCCTCCGATCTCACACTAGGTCTGCCACTGAGTTGACGAGGTTTCACGCTCCCAGTTTCGTTAAATAATTCAACAACATATTGAATAGTTTTAAATAAATAATTATAATCGTGAATTAGGGCTTGTTCAGGATATGCTGCTGGAAAATCGGCAATACAAGCTGGTATTGAGTAACTCCATTCTCCGTTTTCTAAACGATTACCGTTGCGGTAGTAGGATTTTATGAAAAAAAAAATTTTGTTCACTCATTAGGACCATTTTAAATAATTGAAACACTTTAAAACAATAAAATGTCAAATTTTATAATTAATTTTTTGACATAAGTATACGGACTGCGACGGACACACGTTTTTAACTAATACGCCTACTTGATAGAAGGACTTTTTGATCGCACTGTACAAGGAGCTACAGTCTCTACACCCTCTTTCAGCTTCTTGATTATCAACGTTGTGTTTTCTTTCAAAAACTGCTCTAATGTTTCTACGGACTTTAGAACTTTTCAGTTGCACCGAGTGGGGCATCGGTCACGCGCACTTGATAAATCGCCACTTCAAATTAATTAAAACTGGCGATATTCCATATACCTTACTAATTATTGATAGGGTATAATTTGAAAATTTTTCTAATTTTTTTGGATAATAAATGAGTCCGTAACAGTTTTATGTGTTTTATGAATACTTTCTGTTAATTTACCTATAAAATTTTTACACTAAATGAAATTTGCCAAGTTTGTATCATAAACAAATTTTGAGAAAAGGGAAAAAAATCATTACAGCCCTAAAAAGCCATTGTAACCCCACCATTTTTTTACAGTCAAATGCCCTTATAATAAACTTCATTTTCTGCAAAAATGAAAAAAATCGATACACAGGATGACACTTGAAACAAATAAAGTTTGTATTATAAACAAATTTTGAGAAAAGGAATAAAATTCATTACAGCCCTAAAAAACCATTGTAACCTCACCATTTTTTTACAGTCAAATGCCCTTATAATAAACTTCATTTTCTGCAAAAATGAAAAAAATCGATACACGGGATGACACTTGAAACAAATAAAGTTTGTATTTTTAACAAATTTTGAGAAAACGAAAAAAATTCATTACAGCCCTATAAAGCCATTGTAACTCCACCATTTTCTTACAGTCAAATGCCCTTATAACAAGCTTCATTTTCTGAAAAAATGAAAAAAATCGATACACGGGATGACACTTGAAACCAATAAAGTTTGTATTATTAACAAATTTTGAGAAAACGAAAAAAATTCATTACAGCCTTAAAAAGCCGTTGTAACCTCACCATTTTTTTACAGTCAAATGCCCTTATAATAAGCTTCATTTTCTGCAAAAATGAAAAAATCTATACACGGGATGACACTTGAAAAAAATAAAGTTTGTATTATAAACAAATTTTGAGAAAACGAAAAAAATTCATTACAGCCCTAAAGGCCATTGTAACACTTGAAACAAATAAAGTTAACAATGCATAAGTGAAATACATTTGACCTTGAATCGCACAGTTGCACCAATATAATTCATTGAAATTGTTATTCATGACAGAATTACATTGGAAACGTTAAAAAACTATCTACAATAGTCATTTGCAATTGAAAATGCTTATTTTTCCATGTTTTGTAAAATATTATGCTTTATTTTAATAAAATTCCAATAATTTTTCGAGTGTGAACCTGGCTGCACGAAACGAGAGTGGTGGGGGAAATGCCACAACGCGACGCGAGCAACAAATTTTTGGTCGACTGTAATTTCAGTCTGGCCAGCAAGATAAATCTTGCTATTCTAACTTCACCGAGGTGCCCATCTCTAGTTGCAATAGCAAAATGGCCGTTACGTTAACGGTCCTTTTATGTGACCCGTCTGTAAATTTTATATTGTATGGTGGATTCGTGATTCGGTTAGTATTAAAACGATTAAAATGTCTCGGGGGCGAACGTTGAACTGAATGCAAGAGAAACGTCTTCACCTTCACCGAGGTGCTTTGCTTTAGAAACTTTGAGGTTATGTACCGCTGTTAAAACTTGTGATTTTATTAAAGTTGAAGTGTTTCGGAGGTAGTGATTGTTTTTTCGTGATATTCACCGACCTATAGTGTAGTGTCAGTTAATTTTTGTGCGATCATATGCTATGAGAACTCAATTTATGTGTTATTTTGTGTCACAACCACGTGGTTGGCTGTGTTCAAATCTACTGTCTGAAGTCCCTGATATTGTTACTGAAATGTTCAGAAGATTGCATGAATGGTTATAAGATGTACCTACCATAGACGAGGCGGCAGGAATAAGGTAAGTGTATTTTTTATTTACTTCAAAACGGAAATTACCATGCGCTCAAATAGTAGGTAAATTATTTCAGATTTCTCAGCTATTGTGAAGAAACTAAATTTCTGGTTAAGAATAAAAGCAAAAATTAAAATGATAATGTAAATAATAACCGGAACAAAACTTACATTTTGGTAGTTGTCATTGATTCATGGGGGCTGCCGGTGGATTTGCTGGGACTGGTTTCCAGTAGGGGTTCGAAGACATTGGTTGGGACGGTGGCTTCGATAATTTATAATTTGAGTCGCAGCAATGCAATTTCAGGATGTCTTTTTATGCAAAAATAAATGGTAGACGTATTAAATATTATTAATTTACTAATGACGAAAAATAATTAATGATATAAAAATATTAGCTAAAAAAACATAAATACAGTCAAACTTCCATAATTCGAACCGTCATCTGCCACTAAAAATAGTTCGAAATATCAAGACTTCGAGTTATCGAACTTAAATAAAAGATACAGTAATGTTGAAAGAGTTTATTATAATAAATAAGATACTTTAATATGTATTGATTTAATATTTTATTTAGAAACAAAATATTGAGTGATTTGCGATTGAGTCAGGGGTTGTTTATTTTGATTTTCAAAAACGATTCAACCTTATTAAAAATGTCGTAATATTTTTATTATTCTGCAAATATAAATTTTAGATATTCAAAGAATTTGCAACCGAATACTTTGGAATTAGCTGTGTATCATCGTCATCGTCACTTAAGTGTTTTTTTTTTCGTCAATAATGTGGGTTGCTAAGCTTGCAGGATTCGACGGGTCAGTGAAGTTAACACCCCCACTTAAGAATTTTTAAATACAGGGTGAATATAAAGTATGGAACCGGTTTTATTTTTAATCATTTGCCTCCGGAAAATAATAATTAATATAAATTAAAGTAATACAGGGTGTTTACAGTCTTGGAGATGAAAATTGACCTAGTAATAGAAGAGTACAGAAATACTGTAACCGAGAAAAAAACTCACACAATTGTTATTATCAAGAATGTTATTTAACTCCAAAATATTGGTACACGGTTTGAGGGTCACTGGAATTATTTCCTTGTTCAGATAAAATTGTATTGTTGCAACAGATAAAAAAAATCGTATCCATGACAATGAAAGAGAAAAGTGACTTCATAGTTTTGACACTGTCATCATTTGATTTGCTTTTGCTTTAGTTTTTATCAAAATTCGAAGATCTTCTGTTTAATCTCATTCAGCGAATGGTTGGTTTCCAATAGGTTTGAATCGTTTTTCTTAATATTTGTCCAAATTTATGAACATCTATGTCAAAATATTAAAACAATAAGTTGGTTGTTGTGATTATAATTTATGGTGAAACACAAGGTAATGATACTACTTCCCATTGTTGTAGCTAAGCAGCAGTTCTCAAACAAATAGCGTAAAAATGATTAATTATTTTGCTTTGTTTTTGAGTTATGCGATTTTTTTTGTCAAAATTGCAATTTATGTGAAAAATTTTTTTTGAAAAAATTAAAAATAAAGCAGATAGTTGTAATCCTTAGAGTATAGCTTTTGTGAGAAAAATGATTTTATAGTGGGTTGCCATTTAAAAAAATTAATTTTTTTGTAGAACTCAAAAATAAAAGGAAATTTTGAAAAATTTTATTCTTGTTAAATCATCATATTTTTATAGTACTTTAGCACTCATCAATTAGTTTTTTCAAAAAATAAATTGTTTAAGCAAAAAACGTTTGGTTCCATACTTTTTATTCACCTGGTATAAATAATAGCATAATTTTGCATACTAGGTTTCGAATTTTGCACACCTATGATAGGGATCCTATGATTGAAATGATCAACATATGGTCACCCTAATATTACAAGGTTGCATGTTGCTATTTACATAATCTGAGAAAAAACGATTTTAGATTTTGAATGTTTCAAATCGATTTTGTTGTTTATAAATATTACTTTATTAATGGGCATTCAGTTAAATAATGACATAGCTTTAATTTTTAGCAAAAAGCATTTTTTTTTGAACTATCAAGTGCTTACAACAAATAATTAAATAAAACATACAACTTTCTTCCAGTACTTTTATTTAAGCTAATATATTTGCGTTGACATGCAACCACTAATTAAGTTTAACCTTCGAGCGGGCGCGCCTTTTTTTGAGCGAGCGCTTGTCGTAAATTTTACGGCATGCTCCTTTTTTTAAATTAATAGTTTTTCTTTGTTATTTTTATCATCAAATCTCATACAACGCGTGATAAAAAGAAACCTCTTGTAGCCCATGACCGCTCTTGCATTTTCAATTCCGGTGCCGTCGGCTGCAAAAATTTCTTTTACATTCACATGGGGAGATTTTTTTATTTCGATCAAATAGAGAAGACCTATACTTCGCGCGGCGAAGAGACGAAGTGATAGAAAGTTTGAAAGTGTGATTCACTCGATACAACGTAATGTCAGATTTGGTGCGCTTTTCGAAATACACCACACTGTGCTAATAACAAAGCACAACCCTGATGTGATAATCACTGCTTATTATTTTTAGCTTATGTTAAGGAGATCATTTGTGGTTACCCAATAACTTTTTGAGGATGTTTGCATGAAAAAAAAACGTTAATTTATCTTCATATTGTTGCGGACTCATAATTTTGGACATCAAATTTATGTCAGTTCAAAAGATGTGAATGTAAGCTATGCTTTATTGTCATCATGATTGAATTTGAAACTAAACTTTGACAGTTTTAGTTGAAATTTATTTTTGGTGTCGATTTTCTGAAACAATAATCCCAGCAATACGTGTTCAATAAATTATTTTGATTTATTGCCATTTTTTTTCTAGCTGTTATTACAAAAATTACAAAAACCGAAAGAGAGATTAGTTGGCCCGTTTTACATTTTTAAGTCATTTCTGTGTCCGCAATTGTATGAAGAGAGTTTAATATTTTTTTTATTTGATACTAAATTGTGTAGTTCATCAAATTTCTAATAATTTTGCAATTTTATATTTGTGTATTTCACTCTCGTTTGAAATTGGTTTCTCAGGTTGAAATAATAAAGAAAATTTTATAAAATATACATTTTTATTATTCAGACTGATCTGAGTCAGAATCTGTAGTTGATTCTGACTCATTTCCCAAATTTATTATTAATCGTTCAACCTGGGTTTCCATGATAAGATCGAATCTTCTTCTCTACACCATCCACATGACGAATACAGCCGTCACGTTGTTTAGTGCTTCCATGAACAACTCTTTGACATGGTTCAACTTAAAAGTTGTATTTTTCCTTGCCACCTCACCTTTGACCTGACTCCAAACCAATTCAATTGGGTTTAGTTCAGAATGGTAAGGTGGCATTCTCAGAACAATTCTATTTGAATTTCTGGCCAATTGATCAACAAAAGCGATGTTGTTAGATAGATGTTTATTCGCCTTTACTAATTGTAGCAGTTCGGCTTTGACCATATTCTTTTCGTATGGTATATTTTTTTGTGTTAACCAGTTTTGAATGTCTCTTTTTTTGGTCCCACTATTTAGAGATTTTTCCACTTTGCGACTATGGTATGACGCATTGTCTAACACAGTGATACTGTTTTCTTCTATACTTGGTAAAATATTTTGAAACCAATGTTCAAAAACCGTGGCATTCATTTCCTCGTGATAATCACCACTCTTTTTGGATTCAAATATCAGAAGCCCATTTCCTACCTATCCCTCGTCTGAACCCATATGTAAAATTATGAAGCGGCTTCCCTTTCCTGATGAATTCCTTAATCCAGTTGACAAACCAGTAATAAAGGCTTGTCTTGGGTTTGTTACTGTTGTGTTACACCACACTTTGGGTACTGTGTGTCCTGCGTTAATCCAGGTTTCATCTAAGTAATAAATTTTTCTATTTGCCTCCTTGTATTTTTTGATTTCCCGCAAATATTTTCTTCTCTATGCTATTATTTAATTTTGTTCTTTTAGTATGCTATTTCTTGGCCTTCCTTTGTATCTAAATAATAAAACAAACATTGTTTAACATACCCATATAAATAATTTCTTTAACTTACCGAAAGTTTAGTTCTTTGAGCAATATTTTCTATGAAGTCTTTTTCAAATGTGGTAGATCTTCACGTTCATGCAGAGCTTCATAAATTTTTTGTACTGTCGGTGGCTCATTTTTTAAGAAGAATGAATGCACTAGTCTTCGTAAAGAATTTTTGTCTTCTTCTGTGATGTTATCAAGTACTGATGATCTCAAACGGTATATTTTTTGGGGGGTCTAAATGAATGTTCGTTTTTATTGTACTTTTTTAAAATGCTGTACACACTAGAAACTGAGCTTCCTGTAATAAGAATAAATTTATAAAATTACAAGTACCTACGTAGATTTGGGAATAATCAATCAGATATATACTGTATGTGCCTTACTAATTTTAGATATCCACTTAGATCTTGAACGCCAATATAAACTCAATTATATCATTATTATTTATTTCTATTATTCAATTGTAACCAACGCTTTTATAGTTTCTCGTACATTTCGCAACAAAACCTTTTATTGAAATAGATGCGTTCTACTACTAATTCGTTCGATTTTGCAAAAAATATGCAAAAGTCGCACCACTCCAATCCACACAGAAGCATCTGGCTTTGCACCTGAAAATAATAATTATGACTGTCTTTTTTAATGTGGTACCAAACTTACGTCATTTTGCTTGCAGAAGTTTTTGGATTTGAGCGCCTCTTCCCATGTTGAATAATGCCATCTGGGCTTGTACCCATATATCACCAGCCCGCAGTCAAACACCTTGTTGCCCGTGTGTGTTGTGTACAGTACCCTGGCATTTGCTTCTTCTCGAATTCCATGCTGTACTGTACTGATACGCGATAAATCCTTCTGTTGCCACAATTTCAAAAAAAAAAAACTTTAGGTCTACCTCTTTTTTCCGTTGGGCCAACTCGCCAAAATGAGAAGTAGTAAACCTTTTTTGCTTTTGCAGAAACCATTTGCTGCAAAGTACTTGCTTGCGCGTTGAGCCTTCTACTGTTTGCGCTTGGTTAAAATTAAATGTCTTCCACTCTTCTATAACTATTGGTGGCTGGCTTAACAAAATATTTGCCGATAAAGCGCTTAAGCGTGGCTGTGTCTCTGGCATGGTTTGGGGCTGCACATCAGTGACACCCTCAGGTGCCACAGTTGCTGATTGTAATGCTTTAATCGTCATTTCGGGATCTGCAGTTCAAAATGTGGTCGCAATGCCTTCAATACCCTAAGTTGTACTACCCTCGTTGTATTTATCAAACAAATAGGCAAAGGAGATACTCGGGTTTACGTTTTAACTTTCCTGCCATTTCTTTTATATTTTGTGTTTTGCTGAGTCTCTCACACTTGCAGCATATTTTTGGTTCCCTGCTGCTACACTGAACTCTGGCCCCTTCTTGCTGTCCATTTTTTGTGATTTTACGAATGAAACATTCATAATATTTTCAAGTGGCTTGATCCATGCTATTGGCTTTTGGGTTACACTCAGTTTCTCTGGCATAATTCCTAACACCTCACGAAAGATCATGTCTTGCACTGTAGCCTAAAGCTACAACGTGATGGCATGATTCCGATAACCTGCAAATCCGATAGGTTATAATTTTGTTTTTAATATAAGAATACGTACCCAATTACACAGGAGCAATGGCTATTCCTCAACACTCACATTTCCACTCTTTACTTTAAACTTGAAACTAATTTGAGTGCTATTGCGTTTTTGTGTCTTTTTCTGACTGTGGTAGCATTTGGCCGCCTTTACTACCACATTGTTTTCGCTTTTACGAGTATGCGTCCACACGTCATGGAGGTAGCCCTCAACGAAGAATTTATAACCTAAGTAGAGAAACAGTCAGTCTTCAAAAACATGTGCATTGTTAGTTTGTTTACCTCGCGAAAACTTTTCTTGGATTGCTTCCGTTGATTTTAAAAATGTTTTTAGTTCATCAAACTCAAATTGCTGCAGCTTTTCCAAGCTTTTGGTCTACATACTTGCAGGAAACCACACGAAATACACAAAACGAAATACGAAACACTATAACCACGTGAGTACGCTAATATAAGCTGGTATAGTGTTGTTTGTGGATTTAGCGGTGGACATTCAGACAACCAACCTAAACACCATAGGTTACACATGAGTTTCACTGTTCATTTGTGATTGGGCCATTTCTTTTTCGCGGTTACAAATGGGGCGGAGGTGTCGCATGCGGTATCCTTAAAAAATTAGATGCAATGGGTCCATTAGGTTTAATCGCTTTCAAGTAGTCCTGATCTAACTTCGGCATCAATAGAAACATGCTTCGAATTGCATTTATTTTATTTTGGGGCAAACTTAATTTAGAATGTTTTTAAATGTAGTCGCAGGTAATCCTCCACGAGTGCTGCGGTAAAAGTCATGAAGCTGTTCCTGTTCTGTGGAATGCAGCTCTCACTCCAGCCAGAGAGTGATTTCCGAGATGTCAGGATGATCATTTAGAACCTTTTCCAAAATTTTGTGAACGGCGCTGGCAAAGTCGTTACCTCCTCTTCCTGTCATTATTTCGGGTCAAATTGCGCAGTAAACTTTATCTCAGTTGTCATTTTTTACGAACAGACATTTATTTTATCTTAAATAAACAGATAAAATTTAATTAACGTAAACATTTTATTTCAGGTCAAATGGGTATAAAAAAAGTTGACAATTTACTATTTGGCATTTAGAACAGGGTTCGGTTTTACTAAAGCGGTCATCGTATGTTTCCCATATATTACTATGTCACAAATAGTAGGCACTAAAATGACCTACTCCTACATTGGGGCCAACGTGCCGATTATGCCACGTAATGCATAGGTAATACTGTTGCCTAATTTTATTACATATGGAATTTCTTCCAACTTACAATCTAGTTCAAAAATTTTGCTATCGAAATTTAATGTCTACAAAAAAATGAGTTATTCCTACGACTATACGTTTTCTAAAAGCTAACTTTTTACATTTATTACAATGACTTACTTTTTCATTATCACACTCTTCTATAATTTTGTTTTTAACTTGACTAATATCGGAAACAGGGATTTCTAAACTAGATCTATATTTAATTTTATTTTATTTTACACTAACCACACACTCAGCTACAAACATTGTCTTGGGCGATGCAACCATTGAAATCTAATTGTGGTAATAAATTACCTATTTCCGTTATGACATTTAACTGCATTTTTGGATCGACTTATCAACCGTAGCATTTAAAATTAGCTCTTGAATAGCTTAGTTTTCAAACATAAGCTTTGCATAAAGTAAATAGGGCCCTGGAACCCAGCCCAATTAGCTAAGTTTGGAGATTGTGTAAATCGGATTTAAAAACGTTCATAATACAGAAAACTGATGAAGATGAAGGATCTGTTGCAATTTCTTGATATTGAAAAAATGTTAAAGATTTATCAATTACTTGTTTGCTTACACCTTTAGCTTTTTTTAATTAAATCGTTGTGTTTGCACACAATATGCTTTGGCACCGGTACCGTAAAAGAGTAGAATTGGTAAATCAGCATACTAATCTTTCATTTTACCAATAAGAGACGGTTTTATGCATATTATGAATATTTTGGTCTTCATAATTTGAAGTATCAAACCTATAAATATGTTCTTTAATGTCATCATATACTTTGTCCGTAAAAATTTCCAATACCAATGAATCCGTATCGGTATATAAAAGTTGAACATTATTCCTATATTTAACTTTCTGGAAATTGTAGAAAAAGTCATACATTAATGTTTTTTGGCGACCGGACTCACTCCTTCTCGTCTCACTACTTTACAATAATTTTTCTCATGACGCATACGCGATTGGCGCGTTGTAAATTGTTTATTACAATTTTCACACTGATGCATTTTCTAGAAAAAAATTTGTTGTTTTAATTAAACACGAAAAGCTTTCTTAAACATTTGCTGCCTTTAGTTACTATTCTTGAAAAAATTTCTAGTATTTTTTCAAAAATAGGTATCCGACAAGACTACGAGGAGGAGCAGCTCGCTTGCCATCGCGTTGTGGATAGTACAATCACAATAACTAAATTTTGAATCGCGACCAGATTAGATGTATTTGACATAGTAATAGGGATGGATGAGGAAACCACATTATTGATCCACCCCATCACAAGCTAAATTCATCAATAATTGTTATGAGTTATTAGCTCAGATGGGGAGGTGGGCAGAGGTGGAGAGAGATTTATGGGGAAGATCTGAGACAATACAGGAGTTGGTGGGTTGGTACTGTTTTTGGGCTGCTCTGCCTTACGTCATGTTGTTTTTAACTCTTCTTGGAGTTCTTCCTCCTCCGAAAGCGTCATATCATATTGCGTATTTGATGATG